CAATGATGAAAAAAAGCTTTGAAATTTTCGAAAATCGGTCTAATAATCTCATAAAAGTAAACATATCTTTTTTCTGTATTTTATAATCCTTAAATGTACCACACAACTTTCAATATGTGCTACACCTTCTATGGTGGTTATCTGAATATTTCGTTAAGTAAATTGATCTAGTATTTCTGTCGCATTGATAGACAACACACACGAATTGACAAACCGACATAAATGAAAAACACTGACTTGTGTGATGTAGATATCTTTAAGCAACTGAAAACTTGTGAACCGAAGTCGCGAGTTTTGGTAGTCCTAGATTTTGAAAAGAGATTCGGAGGTGGCGGAAATAAAACCTCTGGAACATAGTATTACAACGTTCCAGAGATGCCTGCTCGTTTTCGGGCATTGCTTAGACAGGATCAAGTTTGCAGGTTGGAAGCTGTATGCGGTAAATAGTTGTAAATTGTTGCTTATCTGGTGTCACCTTCTATTACTAAGAAACTGCTGATCTCAATGATACTATTCACCTGTTGGAGATAATAAGTCACACATATTTTTCCTATATCTGCCATGGAAATAGAAATATGATGGATTTACTTTATATAGTTTGATATCGAGAGATCAAAGATTCATCATACCTAAGTAAACCTACCTAATCACGATTCGATTTCGCCTTTTGGAACGACTTGACTCATTCCTCTTCTTTGAAAACCTCCAACGAATCCGGATGAAGTATAAAGTCAATCCACTTTACGCCATTTTCTTTAAAGTAATAGTAGTATGTGGAAGGAGACATGACTATATTAATATGATTTTGGTCGAGTCAAATTGAAGCGTACGTTTAATCTAATTATTAATGTTTATTTTTCGTCCATTTTTATCTCTTTCACCTTATACAGGGTGTTCCATAATTATTGCGACAAAATGATAGGGGTTGTAGAGGGCATAAAAATATGCAATTTTGCCTTATAAACCCCTGTTCGTAAATATGCCGTTTGAGCACTACCGCTAATTTTACCTTAAGAGAAACAAGAAATTCAACAGCTGCAAAATGTTCGTCTAGCACATTTCATGGTCTCGCCGATTTGTAAAAAAAAGCCTGCTGTGTTTACATTTTTGTTATCGTAAATTCTCCACACCGATTCATTTAATTTATCTGAGTGGTGCGTCAAACTAGAGGCCAATCCGCGTACAAGCGTGCGTGCTATTGCACATGAAATGGGAGCGTCTCAAACTACTGCTTGGCGGGTTCTCCATGACCAGCAACTACACCCATACCACCTTTTAAAAGTCCAAGCCATGGGTCCAGAAAACTATCTGCCGCGTCGACGTTTTTGTCGTTGGTGGCTGCAGCAGGAGTTGAGGCAACCAAACTTTGGTCGCTACGTTTTGTTCACTGACGAGTCCTGTTTCACAAAGGAAGGTTATTTTAATAGCCGTAACAGTCACATTTGGGATGAAGAAAACCCTCATGCCATAGCCATCCATAGAGACCAACATAGTTTTCAATTAACATCTGGTGCGGCATTGTGGACGAGCATATCATCGGGCCATATTTGCTTCCACCACGTTTGGATGGGCATGCTTATGGTCGATTCTTACAGCATGTGCTACCGGAACTATTAGAAAATGTGCCACTGAACATAAGAGCCAACACGTGGTTTCAACACGATGGCGCTCCAGCCCACTTTTCTTTACAAGTGCGGCAGTATTTGGACGACAAATAGGTGGATCGGCCGAGGTGGCCCTGTGCCTTGGCCTGCGCGGTCACCCGACCTGACCCCACTGGATTATTTTCTCTGGGGCCATCTGAAAGCTTTAGTGTACGAAACTACTGTTCCCAACCAACAAGAGCTACTGGGAAGAGTGATGGCCGCGTCCGCACATGTTCAGGACAAACCGGGGGTATGCCACAGAGTTCGCCGATCATTGAACAATCTTGCACAGCTGTGTATTGAGCAAGGTGGAGGACACTTTGAGCAATTACTGTAGGTAAGCTGTTTCAAGAAACTGATCTTTTTTTTTGCTGCATCCCAAACGGCATATTTCCGAACAGGGGTTTATAAGGCAAAATTGTTCATTTTGATGCCCTCTACAACCCCTATCATTTTGTCGCAATAATTATGGAACACCCTGTATATAGTCTCTGCGTTATTTTAGTTCTCTATATCTTACTGTATCGCCTCTATCTCGCTATAGCCCCACGGTATCCATGGGTGTTTAGGCTTTAGGCTGGCGTGCGATTATATCCAAAACTCAATGTAACTGTATCGTAACTGATCAAAAATATTTGAATGGCTTGTACCAAAGTACAGATTCTTGCATGGTCAAATTCTACGTAACTGAAATAACCATCTCTATTTTTAACTACAAATATATCCAGCATCCAGCATTCACAGTGTGTCTAACCAATATTTCAAAGTTTTCATTTTTCTTTCAACACTGTTTAGTTAGATTTTGATACGATCTCCGAAATGGACTATTCGCGAAGTCGGAACTTTCCGCGGGAACGCTAGTTGAGCCGGTTAGCATTATCACTACATCTCAATTAGAGTCATTGATACTTTCTATCTAAAGTCCTGTTATCTATGATGTATTATTTATGGAAATCTAAAACCGCTGATCCAATTATCTCTGTTTGTTCCAGATAACACGGTAACACAATCGCAACAATGATAGCAACGCTATGGGCGTCACACTCCAATTTCTGCTAGGTACGTATTGAATTCCCTTTTCGCACTCATGTTGGTATCCAATAACACATGCTTCCATCAATGCCAACAGACGCGACTCTGTGTCTCCTTTGGAGCAAGGTTTCCACTTACGAAATTGTTATTTCTAGATATACAGGGTGTTTCAGAACTGTTAGAAAGACGATGAATTGCCTAAATAGGATTTAATGCATTTTATCTTTGCCTTTTTTACATGATATCTTCAGAACAATTGCTCAAAATGTCTTCCTCCAACCTGAATACACCGATTTAAACGTCGCACATGATTTCGGGAACTTGACTAAGAACATGATACTCGTTTTGAATGATTTCAAATGCTGCTGTTTCTACTGGAAGTTTGTAAACCAAAGACTTTACATGTCCCCACAGGAAAAAATCTAGCGACGTTAGATCGTGTGACCTAGGAGGCCAAGAAACTGCTCCACCTCTGGCAATCCAATGGTGCCCAAGTCGCTGAGTCAAATACTCACGTACTTGTACAGCAAAGTGAGCCGGCGCTCCATCATGCTGAAACCACATTTGCCGTGGAACATTCTCAAGAAGTTCTGGAAGAACTTCCTCCAAGAAACGCCACATTTTGAACAATTGTTGTGATGATATCATGTACATTAGGCAAAAATTAAATGCATTAAATACTATTTAGGCAATTCATCGTCCTTCTAAATTTTAACGCGTCTTAGGGCCGTAGTGCCGTAGTGACACTTTTCCGGATATGGGTCCCTATACTCAAATGTTTTCTACTGTTACATTGAATAACCAATACAAGTTTGATCCCATAGTTCTGAAACACCCTGTATACGACATAGATAAAACGCATGGGGCTCTCAATACCTGTTGGGGATACAGCTTAGGTTGAATTAGTAAGGAGTTGCGTTCTTTGGGGCGCATTTACATGCCGTTGAGAATCTTGTAAAAATTTCATGGCTCACTGAGATGTTTGGAAAGAAACAAGATTTGGCCACATCATATTTATTTTTTCCAAGAAATATCAAAAAACTAGTGAAACTTTTCCATTGGCACTTTTTAGGCACTGCATGATGGTGTTTTTTAAATTTTATTCCCAACGGTGCGTTTTTAAGAAACCATAAACTTTATTTTTTTATATGGCCCGAAACAAAAGTACATTAGTATTAGGATTTTTATACAAATTCAACGATGTATCACATTTTACATTTATTTTATTGGTTATAAGAAAATATGTGTTTCTGATTTGTTACAAGCGAAAGCTTGACTTGACGTAAACACCTGTAACCGAGTATTGTTATTATTGTGTAGTGTTAATATTGCTTTATTATCGTCAAATATGTGAGGCGGTCATTTTAGGAATGAAGAAAAATTCGGCATGCTGACGTGCTACATTTTTTACCTACTACAAAAATACTGAACATACCTACTGCAAAAATATATCTTGATAAATTTCCCGAAAGAAGGCAGCCATTTTTTTAGAGTTGGCTTGAAATTTAAATGAAAATGGCTCATTCAAAAAAGCTCTACGTCTTGGAAAAAAATCTTTAGAGAAAACTAAGAACAGTGTTTTACACGTAGTTGCTGAGAACTCTGAGATATCAACTAGGCAAATTAAGAAAAATGTAGGAGTAGCTAAATCAACAGCAAAACTTATTTTGGGTAAAAATAGATATCACCCCTATAAATTCAGGATTTGCCAAGCGAATAGTGAACGACGCCAGCATTTTTATGAGTGGTATACACGATAATATGGACCGACTAAAGTATGGTCACTAATAATGGATTCTTTAATCGTCACAAGACTCAATACTGGGCTCAAGAAGACATTCCCGCCTTTAAAATGACGTTTTCCTTATTAAGATGACCCCGGATCTTAACTAATTCTCCTTGAACTAGTTCTCCTTGAAATATCGTTCACTATAACACCTTCTAATTTACGTTTATTATATTCAGGCACTTCGTTTCAACAAGGAGCTTCTGACTATCAAGCACTGTCAGTCTTCCATACAAACTAATGATATGATGTCGCCTAGCTACGTAATGAAGCGATCGACTACTGTAAATGACCGTTTGGGACTCTCAGAAAGTGTTTTTAGAAAAAGAAGGAAAAAATTCGTAGTCTTGTTCACTTTCTTGTCGTGCTTTGACCATTATCGATCGATGCTATCATGTTGGCTATCATAATTACTATGATAGTTTTAATTACATCTGCTCTTAGATTCTTGAGTCGTGATCTTTCTTTTAACCGGACCGAGTCTTCCAACTTTTTTTTTCTAATAATGAGATGCAGCATATCATACTTTTATTGATATCGCATAGTATGTCCAAAATACTTTTATTAATTCCGTGGAAGTGTTCATTCGTGTGGCCTTATCCATCCAGCTAACGTTTAACATGCATCTGTACGCCTACATTTCAAATGCTTGTAAACGTTTATGCATTTAGCCAATGTCCGTGCTCTCATGAAGAAATAATATTAACAGCATACCATTCGGGTCCGGTACGGGTATCATGCAAAAAACCTATAAAACGTCAAAAAAAACCTATAAGATTTCAACTTGCAGACTAGGTAGTTTTTAGGGAGCAAACAGTCATTCCACGTTTGCTCACTAGGATCGTTGTGAACGTCCATCTATGGAGGAATCACTCAACTAAACTACGCATTATTGGTTGCATAGTTTTGTGCGGCTGAGTGATCTGGGTCTGTAGTTTTTATCTCTGAGAAGAAAGTTGGTTGAATAGCAAGATCGCATCTGGATGATTATGTGCATTGGTCTGCATGTGTATAAAATCAGTGATATTTCCTGTGAGAGAAAATCATTTCTGAATATGCCGAATATGACGGGTTGTTTATATGTTGTGTTTCTGCAGAGAGGTTATGTTCAAAGTTATAAATTACGAAAAACTGAGTAGAATTACGGGAAATCATCAGCGCGCCCGCGTTGTGTGTAATTACTGTTAGCATGTATATGGCGTGTAATTCGACAGTGTACAGTGAATATAATTATTTCTTATCTCTCTCATTTTTTAAATTCAGCAAATTTGTATATGTAATTTCCAGAATGGATAAGAAAAAGTGGATGCGCAACTAATTTCTAGCTTTGAATCTCAATTAAGTGTATTTGAGACAAGAACCCAATGTAATTATCATCAACACATACAACTTACAGCTTAGACCTCCAGTAATGCTATCTTAGAAGCAGATTTTACATCACATCAGAGCCAAAGATTGACAACAAGCCTCACATGACGTTTAGGCAACACGTACAACTAAGTGCTAAGTTAACAATCTTGTATAATAACCTACATAATGTCAAAAAAATCGGCATAATGTCACTTTTCAAGATACGTGATACCCGTGCCGAAGTTTAAAATTTGATTCCTAGTACAATTTATGAAAATATTTCTTGTTCTACACAAAATCCGTCTCTGTTTAACTATATACCGCAATTATCAATCTGCGGGTACCATTAATTTTTTGTAGCAACTGTATCGGTTGTCACACTGATGTGCTCATCCTAATTGTCGAGTAATTCTAGTAAACATGTGGAACTGCTGGTGAAAAATATTGTAATCAGAATGTAACTTTATCATTGCGAAGGTAATTATTTGTTTGTTTAGAGCAAGAAATCATCGCACGGTCCAGGAGATAACTCGGCTCACTCTCTCACCATGAGATGCTCCTTGATTACTATGGTATAATTACGAGATTCAAAGATTTTTCAGTTAACATGAAGCAAAAAAACGCAACTTTACTTGATCTAGTTCCTGTGAGAACAGGGTTTCCCAACCTTTTTTTTTTGTTGAGGCTCTCCGAACTATAAATCATATTCTCATCCCCCCTTTACTTTTTCAATAAATACAAAAAACGCACATTATATACAGGGGACTTCGAAGTTGAGTCATTTATTTTAACAGTGAGTAGATCTGATCAAAAGAAATGTTTTTTTCCTTTAACATTTTTCTGGTAAAATTAAAGTAACAAAGTTATAGCCCTTTAGAAGTTTGAGTACCGCCCTGTCTCAATATTAACATTATGTGCTCGTGTTTGGCAACAACGGATATAATCCGCCTTATCGGTTCATCGCATCGGAAACAAAAAAGCGAAAGAATTTGAAACGCTGATCACGATGTTTTTATTCAGTCAATGTGTCAGTCGGTAACGCGTGAGTGAATAGTGGTGTTTGCTGCGTGGCTCAAACGAAATAAAAAATGGCACATGTTTATGCGGATCGGTTTCCCAATCGAGTGCAACCAACCCCTCGTGCCTTTGTTAATGTAGTACAACGGGCTCGTGAATCAGGTGACTTAAGACCTCACAGAGGAGGGCATGCCGGTGCTCCAAGGCCTCACGATCAAATACAGGTCTGCACTGAAATACTTGTCGGGAGGATACTTTATAAAACAAGGTAACATTTTTTTTTTATTTTTACACACATATTTTGGTTTATCTTCCTTCTACAATCATTATCTGAAAATTAATGACTCAACTTCAAGGTCAACCTGTATAGGTACAAAGACTTTTATTTTAATTCTAATAAAGAAACTTTAAAAGTTTAAATAAACTAAATGTTTTTTATCGAAAAACTTGAATAAAACAAGAGGAGGTACTAATGAAACACTTGAGATTGCATGTTCTGTACCAGTTCTAGGTCCTCTTTTTGCCAGAGCTATCATCAGGTCGCTATCGACATCAAGACGATTTCGCTGTTTAGTTTTAATTAAACTAGAGCAGAACAGTCTGTCTCACATAAGTAAGTCGAAGAAAAAGGAACTAGTATTCGTAAAGCAAGAGAGGCAAGTGTCGAATTATCTGTTCTTTTGATCCAAAATTCCTCCATTGTTAAAAGATGGAAGTCATCTTTCATGTACGAATCGCCCTTCATTTCTAGAAATTCTTCCTGAACTTCTTCTGGTAATTGTGACACATTGACAACAAATGGATATCTTGTCATGTGAAATATTGGTGACTCTGAATTGATGTTTCGATAGTATCGGCGAAATTCGTCTTCCAGCGCTTGCGAATGAGCTCTTATGTCAGCTTTTAAATTTGCATCCAGTATGTTATTTTTAATTACTTCGAACAGCCGAGAAAAAGATATAACTTTTTCAGAAGACACTATTTGATTCCAAAGTTGAAGCTTTGATATGAACCGCTAAATAAACCGCTAAGAAGTCAAATATGTCAGTTAAATAAGCCAACTTCCATCTTTGAACATTGTCAAGAAATCGTGCTTTTCTTTGAACTCAAGAAAAAGAATTATCTCTTCTTCCAATTCATAAAAGCGAGCCAACATGTTGTCTTTGGACAGCTAGCGTACTTCTATATGGAACAGAAGAACTTTGTGATCAGAATCGAGATCCTCGCAAAGTAAAGTAAATAACCGACTGTTCAAAGCGCTGCTCTTGATGTAGTTACAATTCTTATAGCCGAGTAGAAGGTTGGCGTGATTTCTGTGGTAATGTTTTGGAAGCCAAAATCTCACAATGTGTACTAACCATGGCGGGATTTTTTTTGAGCTTTTTAGCTAAGCCCGATCGTACACCTATCATTACAGGTGCGCCATTTGTGCAAAGTCCAATGAGTTTTTTCCAATCCAAATCATTTTTTTTCAACAAAATTTGATATTGAACTAAATATATCTTCAGATGTTCTACATGCTGTCAAAGATTGGGAGTACAAAATCTGTTCTTGAATGATATCTCCGCCGATGTAACGAACATAAACTATTAACTGTGCACAATTAACGATGTCGGTGGAATCATCGCAACTAATGGCAAAAAATGGCGATAATTTTGCTTTGTTAATTATTTGTGACTTTATATCTGCAATGTCATCGATTCTATGCTTGACTGCTATTCGAACGAGAAATAAACTTCATTTTTTGCTCTGCATCTTCTCCTAAACTTATCTGCGTGGCTTTTAGGACACATGGTTTTATTAATTCTTCACTGATAGTATGAGGTTCCTTTTGCTTTGCTATCATAAAAGCTATTTCAAATGAAGCTTTGAGATGGTGCGATACATCTGTGTGATAACGTCCCGATTTCTCCAGTATCATCCGCTTGAGTGATTCTGCTTTAGAAGAAAAAAAACTCTTTCGTCTTCAAAACGAGAGTAGGATGTTGTTTCTTCAAATGCCTTTCAAGACGATTGGACCTCTTGCTATCATTACTTAAAACTTTCATACATATCACACACTGAGGCAATTGTAACTCGTCTTTTTCTATGAATGTAAATCCAAACTTAACGTAATCTTCGGAAAACCTTCTTTTTTTCGCTGCGATTTTGCAGCTATAACAATAAAACAAATAAGTAATAAATAAATAAGCAAAATACATGTATGTAATTACTAATTATATGCCCATTATTTTATCTTAATAACGTAATGTATTCAACAGTATATTGGCCAATGGGAGATTTATATTTTTGTAGGCAGCTTGACGTTATAATAGTAATTCTAAATACATTTGGAATCAATATTAGGTACTTAAAGTTCGTCGTTTCAAAATTATATATATATATATATATATATATATATATATATATATATATATATATATATATTATATACACTCCATACTCCAAGTTAAAAAGTAGACTACTAAATTAGTATTCACTGTAAATACCTCAAAATATCGGAGAAAAGCCAAAAATATTTAAAACCAGAGGTGTTCAAGTTAAGAGCAGGAAGAGGTACGTCCGTGGACCTGTTGGCGATAGTTTTCAGAGCCGTGGGAGTAATCTTCAGCCATTTTACCATATATTCCATTTTGTCATTTGGACATTTCGTCAATAGTGTCAAATCAAATTAAGAAACTAGTCTACAGAGTGAATAGGGTAATCCGGAAATAGCCGCTGGAATAAGGGAACATGAGTCAGACTGTACGAAAGAAGAATACAAACATGAAAGATCCTGAAGATGGGGATAATGTAGAAAAATACAGTGATAACAACGAAGAACTGTCGGACGGAAAATAACGATGGTCTTGCCCAGCCTATTGTAAACAGGGACGAGTTACCCGAAGCGGATCCACCTCTTCCACATGCGGTGCTCGTTCAGAAACCACTGCTCCTTTACAACCAGATCAGTCTACCCCTACCGACACTCTCACCCTTATACTTAACCAATTATCAACTATGGCCAGTGACATAAAGGATATTAAGAACTCTCAATCTCAACTCGGAACTGATGTTGCTTATTGTAGAAACTTGCTACAGCAACATTCGGACTCGATCTCTCGGCATGATGACATAATAGCGGCCTGCGAAACCAACATACAAAATATCCAGGTTACTCAAACAGAGCTGTCTTCTAACATTGCTAATATTGAATCGAGACTTGCAAGATCTATGGAGACGATGCACTCAGGCAACGGCGCTTCTTCTACCCCTATTGCCCCAAGCTCCCAAGCTGAGACAATGGAGTTATTTAGACGTTCCCACAATATCATTCTGAGGGGCATAGCTGAAGGTAACGATGACATAAACATAGTATCAGAGATAATTAGGCATATTGAACCATCTGCCGAAAATCACCGACTCAGCATCACTCGCCTTGGCAGAACAACTTCAAGCAATCGTTTAATTAGAGTTGTGTTTTCCTCACCTATTATCGTCAGCAATATTTTGCGGAAGAAAAACTCCATCCTTAGCCACCCCACGCTTCGTCACGTAAAAATCTCTGACGACAAAACCAGAGGTCAAATGCAAGAACTACAACACCTTCGCGAAGAGCTTGGACGTCGTCAAACAACAGGCGAAAGTAATATTACTATAAAATATGTTCGTGGTAAACCTTCTATATTACACACAGCTACCCAGGAGATCACACCTTCAAAAAACTGATAAATTCTGTGGCAAACTGGACGGTTTGTTACACTAATATACAATCTCTCTTTTCTAAGCTACTTGAACTCCAAGCATTTGTTCGAGACAATAATCCAACGTTCGTTTGCCTTACTGAAACATGGCTCCATTCCAACGTGTCCGACTCTTCCATCAATTTGCCTGGATACTATTTATACAGAATGGATTAACCACGCACTCCTGGTTTTGGTGGAGTATGCATTTATGTTCGCACGGAAATCGCGTCGGCTTTCTCGGTATCTCCCTCTTTCAGTCCTTTCGATGGCATTGACAATCTATTTTTGGAATTGAGGTGCCCAAATTTCAGCTTCACGATAGGCTGCATATATCGGCCACGGCCCTGTTTGGGAGACACACACCTGTGCAGTCTCATTTCAGATCTCTTAAATAAAAACACCAACCTTTTCATAGCTGGTGACTTCAATCTACGTGACATTAGCTGGCCTATGTCAACCATTCCTGAATGCAATTCTTCTTCTGCTGCTTACATCGACTTGCTCCGCAACTCTAGCATATCTCAACTTGTTGATCGTCCAACGAGATTCAGGGAAGGACAGACGCCTAGGGCTCTGGATTTGATATTCGTTAACGACGCAGACTTTGTTTCTAATTTAGATTATTTGCCACCTTTTGGCAAGTCTGACCATTGTTCACTTTTATCTTCTCTCCAGTTCAATATAAATAGTCGTTCTACAACCGATAAGTTTAAAACCATCAAAATTGTAAACCACGATGCTCTTAACCAAGCCCTGTCTGAAGTCAACTGGCCTGCTTTGCTTAACAACCGTAGCACCCAAGATATGTGGGACACTTTCGCTCAACGAGTCCTAAACGAAACGGCTGACAATACTGTTGAAAAGAAGGTATACTGTGACCCCTCAAAGCCCTGGATCAACTCTAACATATCGAGGATGCTTCGTCACAAGAGATCTTTGTGGCAACGGTTTAGGAGGAGTGGCCATTCACAAGATTACGTGTCTCATCGATCCTTTTCTAACCTCCTATCTAGAACGTTACATAATGCCAAACATGCTTATGAACGAAAACTCGTTACCTCCAAAAATAAGAAGAAGCTGTTTCGGTATCTAAGAACAAACCTGAATTCCAAAGTTTCATCACCTCAGATCCGCGACGCTGACGGTCATCTCCACATGGATGCCACCGAATCTGCCAACTTACTGGCAGAGTCCTTTAGTGATGACTTCGTCGATGAGCCTAATGGAGACCTTCTACCGACCACTATCTGCCATAGGTGTCCCAACAGCCTTTTGCGAAGTTGAGTTCCTGCCTGAAGATGTATTAATGCACCTGCGAAATCTGAAGACCTCTTACCCCCGTGGTAAAGATGGGATGACGGCTGCTGTACTTAAAAACTGCGCTCCAGCACTGGCCCTACCATTAAGCTTGATATTCACATCGTCTTTTAGATCTCATACCCTACCCTCATGCTGGCTTAGTGCTTCTGTTACCCCTGTATTCAAAAAGGGCGACAAATCCTCCGCTAAATATTATCGACCAATAAGTCTCGTTCCTATCGCCGCCAAAATAGCTGAAAGAATCATATTAGATAAGCTCCAGTCATTTGCTTTCGAAAATGACCTTATCCCTAAGAATCAGCATGGATTTCTCCCTGGTCGATCAATAATGACCAACCTTCTCCACTCTCTCAACGATTGGACTCAGTATCTGGGCACAAAGACTCCTGTTGATATAATCTACTTAGATTTTTCTAGGGCTTTCGATCGGGTACCACATAGAAGGCTTCTGTTTAAGTTGGAATGTATGGGAATAAGAGGGGAGTTGTTACTGTGGATTAAGGCTTTTCTCACCGGGAGGACTTTCTCTGTGCGCGTCAGTGATAGCCAGTCTCACCTTCATCATGTAGCAAGTGGAGTTCCTCAAGGCTCTGTCTTGGGGCCAGTGCTGTTCCTTCTGTATACAAGTGACCTGCCCGCATTGATTTCCTCCACATGTTCAGCTTATGCCGACGACACCAAGATTTACAATACTGTCGTAAATTCTGCTATGCTTCAACGAGATCTTGATATTGTTTGTCAATGGTCAGTTAGTTGGCTTTTACCCTTAAATCTAACTAAGTGTTGTGTCCTTCACCTCGGGAAGACAAATCCGCGATTTACATACAAGATCTCTGACCACAACATCGAAGCAGTTTCGAGCCACACTGATCTGGGCGTTGTAGTCAACGATCGTCTTTCCTGGTCAGAGCATATTCACCACGTTACATCAAAAGCCAAGAAACTTCTATATATGCTGGAGAGGTCTTTCAAAGGATCCGATGTCAACACTTGCGCCTACATTTACAAGGCATTCGTGAGGCCAATTCTTGAATTCGCTGGCCCGGTATGGGACACTGTGCTTCTGCGCGATAGAAATCTCGTCGAATCAGTACAGCGTCGGGCTACTCGTATCCCTTTTGGAGCACGAAGACCAAGCTATGAAGATCGCCTTGAATTATTCAACCTGACCTCATTCTCTGAGCGAAGACTTCGTGGCGATCTTATAGTTACGTTCAGGATACTTCATGGTTTGATGGGCACCAACCTCATGCATCTATACCATCTGTCGCGCAGCAATCTACGCGGACACAGCTTCAAACTGCATAAGGAGCCATTTAAAACAACAGTCCGACAGTGGTTTCTTCCCAACCGCATACTCAACACCTGGAATAGTTTACCTGAAAGTGTGGTTGGTGCTACTTCAGTTAATAGCTTCAAAGTGCAGTATGATAGCTGGAGGAGTGTACAAACTTTATAGCTATGAACTGTATTTTTTTATTTTTTTCTATTTGATGTATTTGTGTTACGTGTCCGTACACTATATTTACTGCATGAGCTTATAGTACTGTGTACTCTGCTCATCTCAATTATCATAATAATAATATTAATAATAATATATATATATATATATATATATATATAAGTCCCAATGGCCGATCTATGAACGCGTCTCCACTCAATCAACACTTTAGTAAATTAAATAAAAATGTTAACTGAAGTTTGTAAATACACAAACTTAGCTAACAGTGTGACACAATAATTTGACACATTCAAACAGATTTCTCAACAAAACATGTACATCGAAATGTCAAATTTTTCACAAGTTTGTGGGAATTAATGTCACAGATGCTCATCCGCATCTGGTAGGTACACAATAGTTTTCTAAGTGATCGATGTTGTGACTTGTCAAAACTTATATAAACTGCGATTGACGACGCCGGGTTTTGAAGCAGCGGCTGAATAAGTGAGTATGATATTTAATTTCTAATTTTATGCAAGTAAATTAAACATTACATTGTAATATTATTTGCTAATGTTTTTTGTTTTTTTTCCTAAAATGCCCCCCTTGTCATCTCTCTATGCCCCCCTTAGCAGGCGCGCCCCCCTGGTTGGGAACTCCTGCTTTAGTGGGACTGTACTCCGGACATTGCCACAGTAGGCTAGGTATAGATAAAAATGCTGTGTGCAGACTGTGCTTGAAGGGAGTCGAAACGGTTGAGCACGTTTTGTGTAATTGCCAGAGTGAGGTAAAATATGCTCTCCAACAAGGAAACCTGAAAGATATATTTTCAAATAAGCTGATCGACTTCCTTAGAAAATCGGAACTACTGGAAGAAATGGAAGTAGGTGTAAGCCACAGTAGGCCAGTAGGACTTGTATTACCAGCTCTACCGATTTTTTTGTAAATCTACCGATTTCACCACTATTCTGCCAAACTACTACTACTTTAATGCGAAATCTATCGAAAAATCGTGCAAACCCTTAAATAGTATCTTTCTGGACGAAACACAAGAATATTACAGTTTGCGACCCCCCCCCCTTGCACCTCATTTTCGATTTGGTGTAACTCGGCTCTCTCCAAATTTTTAAGTAGCAGCATTTAATGGTCACCACCATCCCGCCGCACTGGAA